GTCAAGAAATCTGGAGAACGACCACTTGGCCAACTGACTGGAAGAGATCGATATTTGTTCCTATCCCAAAGAAAGGTGACCCAACAGAGTGTGGAAACTACAGAACAATCTCACTGATTTCACATGCAAGATTTTGCTGAAGATTATCCAAAAACGACTGGAACAGCACATCAGCAGAGAACTACCAGAAGTCCAGGTTGGGTTTAGAAGGGGTCGTGGTACTAGAATCTGCCTTATGTACAATAATTCGTTCTATCAAATAATCATTCTATTGAAAATCTTCCAAAAATAGATTTAGGCAAAAGTAGCCATTTCTGCACTCCACAGCTATTTACCGTTGTGACCTTACTGACCCCAGCCATGTGGTCATCCACATCATTCAGTAGACATTTAACTGTGTTAAGGCGATAAAAGCAGGCTGCACGAAGCCATAGGATTCGGGAAAATGAAACTGTGTATTTCACTTGCATCAGGTAAACAAGCTGAGAAGGCGTGAGTCTCAGAGCTTTTACTGTGGCAGCGTGAGGGGCTTCTGAACAGTGGGGGGGATGGTGCAGCGGGGGACCAGCCGTGGCCTCATTTCGTCTCTGCCTCTTTCTTGGGCTCTTGTTTTAATTTGTAATCAGCCAGGGCAGCCTTGATTGCATCTTCAGCCAGCACTGGAAGTGACAGAAGGAGGTAGAATATGTTAGAGGACAGGAGGAGAGGGGTCTTAGGAAAAGAATACGGGAATATTGGCTTCCTTAATGGAATCACCCAGCCCCGGGGATGGTCCCCTGAGCAAGGTTACCTTGGTGGGGGAATGGTGGGGGCCGAGTTTGTTCATTTCTAGTGCTCAACAGAAGCCCCTTGAGGACTGAGAACTGTTGACAGCTACAAACCGTAAAGAGCTGTGCGCATAAAACGGCTGCCAGATGGTGGTCTGCAGACTGGGCCTCCAGGGCACCTCTCAGAACTCACTTTCTCTTCTGCAAAACTGAAGGACTCCTGCTGTGAGGACTGAATGAACTGACTTACACCAAGTGACACACAGTAGGGACAAAACACATGCTAGTTCTCTTTTGCTCCTGTGACAGTCTGTGAGCAGCTGCTGGCTATGCTAGCGGTACAACTTATTTGCTGATGGGTTGGCGCCTGGCATGTCAACCTCTCATTGGTATAGGTTTGAAAGCTTTAAGAGTTGATAAAAGTGAAGCTGTTATCATTACTGAACACTTTGATTAAACAATCTATAAAATCCTGATCAAAAGAGGGACACTGCAGAACAGAATTTCAAATTCTCATGGCCTCTAGACTTTGTGGAGCCATGGAGGCTGAATGAGCCCTGAAAACCATTATTTCTTTGAATCTTTCCAAAAATATCCTTTGAAGTTATCTTAAAACAAAACAGTAATTAGCTTAACTAGTAAAGAACATCTGCCCTGAACATTATGATTGTTCCTCCGCCCTCATAATGGGCTTTTTAAGATCTATATTGGATCAAAACGAGAATAGCAGCTAGAAAGACGAGATGGGAACCTTGGGGGCAGTGAGTTTATGTGGCTAGAGGAGGAATAAGACAGAAAGGAGGGTGGGAATGGTTGTACTACTTACTTAAAAGAAAACAATCAGAAGTTATTGAATTATACAAACAGAAATGGTTCAGCTGATGGGTGTTTTATTGTGATGTTTGCAACAATTAATAATAACAACAAAGTGAGGTTATGGATTGTTTTTATATAATGTCAAATCAGAACCCATAGCTGACACCCCAGCAACTTATCAAAGGCAGTTAACACATGAGAGGAGACCGCCCATCTTTCTTCCACAGAGCAGCTGGTGGATTTGAATTGCATATCTCTGTGTTGGCAGCACAGCTCCTTACCGCTGAGCCACCAGAGCTCCTCAGAAGTAAGAGGAATGCCACAGGGGAACGTGAAAACGAAGAGCTGGAATGATAGCAGAAGGCAGGCCAACAGCAGAGAATGTCAGCTCAAGGTTCCAGTTCTCAAAACCACCTAACGGGGAGGCCACGATGTTTTGGAAACCTGGGTTATGTTTACAGGCTGTGACTTGACAGTGTGTATGTGGGGACTTGAAATTCCAGCTCCCGTGGGAGGCACTCGCGCTCAGCAGGCTCTCGGACTGCTAGCTCGTCCCTGCCCCAGCGCCCAGTTCTCCTGGCAGTCTGAGCCTGGCAAGGGGCCCGGCCCTCTGTTGATGTTTAACTAATTTGGTGAGTACACCTCATGAATGCAGAAAGGGTGCTGTTTGCCATTCCTTCCTTCCCTGAAAGGTCAGGAGCAGGGGGAGAAAGCTTTAGACTCAATATGCGGACCAGACTGGAGGGCCTGAACTCTGAAGGCCTCCAGGCTTTCTGGGAAGCACGGGAGTGGAAGGGAGTACTGCACACCGAGACTTGTCACCATGTACACAAGGACAGCAGTGAGGCCAGAGGTGAGCAAACACAGCAAACACACCCTTGGACAAACAGAATTTCCCCCTCAGTTTGTCTAAACATTAGTGCAATGAGGTGAGAACCTCACAGACTGTGGAGGCAAAGACTGGATTGCCATTCTCCCATTTACTAGCTGTGTAACGTGGGCAGTTAGCCCGAGGCCCCGGTTCCTCACCTGTAAGATGTTAACAACATTAGAGGGAATTTCAGAGGTGGAAATGATATATGTTGGGGATTCAGGATAGCACCCCATCACACGTTTTCAGGACAGCTGAGGCCTGGGCGGGCTAACCCGCTGAGTGGACCCAAGCGCTTGGCTCTCCCGGGGCTCACACGGGCTCTCTGCGGGCCCCTGGAATCAAGCTGCTGCTGGTGCCGCCTGGCTCCCGACCACGGCAGCCCCTGGGGGTGGCGAAGGGTGGACTTACTGGAGCAGTGCAGTTTCACAGGAGGCAGGCAGAGCTCTTTGGCGATGTCGGTGTTTTTGATGGTCGAGGCCTCTTCAATCTGAGACATGGAGAAGATAACTGAGTTAATTGGCTATATCAATATTGTTCAGAATAGATAATTGCATCAGCCAATTATCTTGGTCAAATTACTCCTCATTATCCAAAAGATTATATTTTGCAAATAAAAATTCATTTATATTTCCTAAAGTTTTTGTTTATCAACCAATTTCTGATGCTCTTGTAATATTTACTGATGGATCTTCCTGAGAAAAGGCTGTTTTTGAACCAATTGGAGCTCTTTAAAACAGTTGAAGGCTCATTTTCAGCATACCAGCCAAATTAAAAGCTACTGAGC